TACTATAGGGGAAGAGCACTGGTTTCAGAGTCAAAGTGTTTGGGCTCTGGTTCCACTCAGTCTTAGCAGTAATGATGTATAACCTTGGTAGGGGTCACTAGCTTCTCTGGATTCTAAAAGAGAATTAAACGTACATGTGCTAATTCCAACTCAAAAATTCTATCCCTGCTATAACTATGCTGTTCACATGAAACCAAAAGTGAGGAAGGCCCATGGCCAAGCCTCCACTCTGTAAAACCAGGAATATATGGAGTATAAAGAGAGAGAGTTTGGGGCTTGATGCTCATACATTCAGGCAACAGAATCGCATATATACTATACACGGTAGTCTTCACGGGATGGGGGTGGAGCTGAAGAAGATAGACATGGAAGTTTCTGGACTGCACCCTCTTTTCTGGGCCTTCAGTGAGGTTCTGGCTGCTGCAAAGTTGCTCTGACATCAGAGTGGATGGGACTGAGGAAACAGGTTCGGTCATGCCCACGTGGAGGCTGCTTCAGATGTAATCAGATGCTAGGCATATTGTTAGGGAGTGAGGAAGAAAGGTCCCGAGGGCAGAGTGTCACTGTGTAGCTGCAGCAGAAGGCTCATGGCAGTGGATTTGCTGCAGTGGAGGCTGGGGTGGGGGCTAGGGAAGGACGATGGAGAAGTCTATCTTTCGGGGGATTGCTCACCCAGCTCTAGTCCAGTGCTGACTGAAGAACAAACACAAGACAAGGTGGTTTGGGTGGCCCGAATCCTTAACCTCGTTGTCAGCAGGTCATCATGGATCTTACGGAATGTCACCTTCTTCTAGTTAATGGCAGGGAGAGCCAGGATGAGAACTACTCAAGAAAGCAAGATGCTGTGGTCTCTCTCCCCTTTCAAAGCACAGATCTCAATGCAGTTAGCATGATTGGCAGGTTTACTTGATGTTTGTGTCAGAGGGGAGGACTGTGTAAATGTTCTTATTCCCTGACCATCTACTCAACTCTAGACTGTCGTTCAGACGACTGGGAAAGAAAGATTAGTGAGGAAGGGAGAGAGAGCACTGGACCCCTGAGTTCTAGGCTGCCATGCAGATTGTGTAGGAGAAGACCGGCAAGGAAGGAAGAGAGAGTGCTGTGTCCCTGGCCCCCAAAACCTTTGCGTTTCATTTGTTTAAAATTTTATAATTTCTTCTTCCCATTTCCTCATATTGTCATCCTTAACCTGAAGTGTATGTGGGAAGGGGCTAATGCCAAACACTGTTGTATGATTTCTTCAATGTCCCAGCCATGTTTTACACAGATAAGTCATGTTTGTTGTATATTTGAATGTATATATAATTCTGTACACTGCCTTTACCTTTGATCTTGGATTCTGTACTTTTGTTCCCTTTGTCTGGGCTATCTTCTCTATTGGTCAGTCTGTGTCTTCAAGATTAATGTCATGATGAGTCTGCATTTTAGGAAAGGAACAGGAGGAAGAGGGAAACCAAGTTGGCTTGTAATCCCAGTGAATCAGAAAGCTAAGGCAGAAGGATTGGTATAGATCAGGGTCAGCCTGGGCTTCAGAGTGAGTTCAAGGCTAGCCTTGGCAACTTAGTGAAATTCTTTCTCAAAATAAAAAGTAAAAAGATGGCTGGGGTTATAGCTAAGTGGTGGAGAATTTGCCTAACATGCAGTAGGTTCTAGGTTCAATCCAGTTAACAACACACACAAATACATGTATGCAAACACACACGAGGAGTAAGAAAATCCAGCTGTGACTCTCACTTGTCAACACTAAGAAAATGAAGAACCAAACTCCATTGTGTTTGCCACCTGCTTCTTAGCAAACATGGGTCATTTCAAAACCCAAATGCATTTCATTAAATCTGGATTATTAAGACCCCTCTAAAGCAGGGTGTGGTCTGACCCTGGTTTCTACCCAGTCACTACCACACTGCTGTCCTGGCTTGGACTCGCTCCTGCAAGTGCATGGCCTCAGAGAAGCATCTCATCCCCTCCCCTGAAATCCCCAGTTATATGATGAGTAAAGAATTGCTTTGTTATATTTTTCAATCTGGGCATAGTGGCACATACCTTCACTCCCAGCAGGTGGATCTCTGTGAGTTCCAGGATAGCCAGGGCTACAAGGAGAGATTCTGCCTCAAAAATATTTTTTTTCTTGTTTTCCATGGGTATATAAAAAAGACAATAAACATTTTATTGGTAGGCAGGAAGAAAGGACAGTAGTACCTGACATGTGCTCTTTAAGGGCTTCAGTGGCTGATGTTACTGGCTCAGAACTTCACCTCCTTTTCTCGGTCTATCCTGCTTACCTCATACCCAGCTACAAGCCCAGATGAATCTTCTCGGTGTTCTAGACTTGGTCATGTTAGCTCTTCCTTTGAACCCCAGCCTGTTCTCACTGCAACATTGGTGAGCAGCCTGTCGTTGCACCAGAGGCTTGTCCCCACCCTTCCTGCAGAGAGCAAGCTTCTACCCACCAGCATAGTTGGACTCCTGTGAGTATCCTCTTCTGGGTGCAGGTAGCTGAACTCTCATCGTATAGCTAGCTCTCTGAGCCTCTTCTTATAGAGATCCTGATTCATCCAAGATGATTCCACTCTGCTGATCTAGTCACCTTCCAACAGCTCTGCTCCTTGAACCAGCATAGTGGGGCATCGGATCAATTTTGGGGATAGTGGGGATTTAGCAGATCAATTTTGAAGAGACAACATCATCTTGTACCTGGGATGTGAACTAGGATTAGAATTGAAGTTCAGTTTTGCATTCATTGACTCAGTGGTTATTCTGGTTCATCCACATAGATGAGTCTAGAAAGCTCAGGATCTGTGAGACTCAAAATGAAGGGAATGAGCATCACTGATGCTGGAGATGAAATACCCTCTGGGAGTCCATTTTCAAGCAAGAAAGGAAGTGGAACCCAGAGAAATGCCTCCGAGACTCAATTATAAAGGCAGTTGTTAGCCTGCCCCCAGAAGATTTCATCACCAGTAGAGTGGTTATTGCTTTGTGTTTGGTTGTTCTCTAGCTGGTTTCAAAAGTCTTTTGTCTTTAGTTTACCAACCTGCTTATTTAAGGGCTGGAGAAATGGCTCAGTGGTTATGAGCACTGGCTGCTCTTCCAGAGGACCCAGGTTTGGTTCCCAGCACCCAAATAAGGCAGCTCACAACTGTCTGTAACTTCAGTTCTAGGTTATCCAGTGCACTCTTCTGAATTACTCAGACATCTGTGTGCATATAAGTTCATACAGGCGCGCACACACACACACACACACACACACATAAATACATACATACACACACAAAATCATAAATCAATAAATCTCCAAAACTATTTGTTTACAGTGCTCCTTGGAACAGACAGGCTGGTATTTCTTTATTTGAACTTTTCTGAGCCCTGTATTTGTATGTCAATATCTTTTATCCCATCTGGGAAGATTTTAGCTATTATTTCTTTCTGTGTGTGTGGTTTACCATATGTTCTTCTTACTCTATTTTTATTGAAAGTAGTTATTTTACAATGTATTCTGATCATGGTTTCTCCTGCCTTGTCTCCTCCAGAGTCTCTCCAATTCCATGCCTTCTTTCTCTCTCTTCCTAAGAGAACATGTAGATGTGAAAGATGAACAACCAAGGATAAAACAAAAGGAACTAACAACAAAAAACAGAAACTAAGAAAGTGTAAGAAATGCAGCCAAACACACAACCCAAAAGAAATCTTCAAAATGAAAACCATAATATACAAAGAGCCAGCAAGGTTAAATAAATAAAAAGCCCAAACATATTTATATTTGGGGGTAAGGGTTACCTCGCTTAGGATGATTCTTTTTTCTAGTTCTATTAATTTACCTGAGAACTTCATTTTTTTAAAAAAAAAGCAGAGTGATATTTCATTATGTAAATGTACTACATTTTCCTATCTGTTCACCCATTGACAGATATCGAGGCTATTTCTAATTTCTGGCTGTTCTGAATAGAGCAACACTGAACATTGGATGTGCAAGTGTCTCTCTGTAGTAGGAAGGAGAGTTCTTTGGGTAGATGCCCAAGAGTCGTATATCTGGGTCTTGAGGTAGATCTATTCCCAGCCTCCTGAGGAACCGCCACAGTGGTTTTTATGGCATTAGCTATTAGCTATTAGTTTTCGGCATCAGGCTTTTCATTCTCCTCTAGGACCACTCTGACCCAATGCCTGATAAAAGCAATTTGAGGGAGAAGAATTTGTTTCAACTTAAGAATTGGAAAAGAAATTCACTATGGAGTGGGGGGACACATGGCAGCAAGTATTTTAGGTCATAGTGTGCCCACAGTGAAGAAGCAGAGAGAAATAAATGTTCAGCTTGCTTCCTCCTTTTAACTCAGAATTGGGGCCCCAAGCCATAGGATGGCTGCATTTAGGGTGGTTCTTCCCACCTCAACAAATCCTACCTTAGACAGGCCTGCACAGATGTGCTCAGAGATTTGTCTCCAAGGAGGTTCTAGATCCTGTCAAGTTGGCAGTCAATATCACAAGTCCTATGCTAGGGGACTCTGGCCTCATTCTGGTAACCCAGTTAAGTTCAGACCACATGCTTTTGCTGGCCTTGACTGGCTGTTTCTTATGTTAGACCAGGTCTGCAGGCACCTGCAATGCCACTGAGACACCCACTGAGCCGTCTCACCGGCCTTATGAATTGCATTTTATTAAACTTCCCTCCAAACAATAAGTTTTCAGTAAATTAACTTTTTGGGAGGAGAGGGGGGAACTATAAGGCTGTCTGGGGTGGTGCCTGAAGCCTCCTCTGCAGACCTTACCCCACACAGTTAGTGGCAATCTGTCCCACCATGGCCTGCAGACCTCACACTCAGACTCCGGGAGTCACCTCCCTCATAGATTTTGGTATAAACCATACCTCCTGGAGCAGTGTGCACTCCGGCTGTGGATGCTGCCCCGGAAAGAGTCTGGGCAACTAGAGAAGTTAAGAGTGGGCACTAATAATAGCCTATGCTCTGTTTCTTCATTTGCCTTCTGCCTCTTGCCTCCTACCCCAGTGCTGGAAGAAGACACTCACCACCTCGCCAGAGTCTCTGCACCTCCCTAGAAGAAGAAGCCACCTGCTCTCCCAGAGTGCCCCAGTGGGACTGGACTGCAGAGGCTGGCTGGAGCCGATGCCTGATACCGGTGAGCTTTATGTCTTTCTTTTGTTATATCCCTGGGTGTGACGTCAAGGACAGGGTGAGTGCTATGTCTACTTGTCAGGGAGAAGCAGCCCAAAGGTGAGAGGGATTGACAGTTGTCCCACCCCTTCAACTATCAAGGACTTCCTAGTACCCAGAGAAGGGGCATGGTCAGCATTGGGCAGGTGCTATGCTTGAGTCCCCAGGCCTGGCTCTGAAAGGTCTCAGGTTTGATCTCAAGAGGGCACTGATTTGCTCTTTGGGGTAAGATATGTATTCGAAGAATAATTAACATCAGGGAACAGCATGGTGGGGGCCGTGAGGAGAGCTGAAGCCTATGCAGCAGAGCGAGGGTCTCTTCTCACAGGCCTCAGAGGAAGCGGGTATTCCATGCCATGTGGTTGATGAGCATCTGCAGTACATGGTTGTAGAGAAAACACCCACATGGTTTGCTGTCTCAAATCTAGCCAACGGTGCCTCCCTTCCTTGAGTTTTACCTTGGGGGCCTCTTGATTCCTTTCCCCAAACTAAACAGCATCATATTATATATTCATTCACAAAAGGGCTGAATCATGCAGAGGGGCAGAGTGCCCCAAATGAGCCAGGCGTGACCTCTTCCAGCACAGGTGCCATTTTCCTTAGCCATATCTGGAGGCAGGGGCTGGGTGCTGAGAGATGCTCCCAGGTCCCTGACAAACAGACAGATTTAGAGACTGTATTCCTAAGCAGGTGTGTGTTATGTATGCGCAATCAGGGACACTCAGCTGGCTGCCAGGGAGGCAGGTTTGTAAGATGGGTCAACCAGGGCAAAGCCCTAAACAGAATTTAAAAAAACAAAAAACAAAACAAAACCAAAAAAACCTCAAAACCAAAAACACACATTCCCTTTTGCCAGGTGTGGCAGGGGCGGGGGGCACCCAGGCTGTTAGTCAAGACCATTAAGGGTGAAGGGTGGTCCAACCTAAAAGTAGCATTTGCCTACAGGAACGCACAGCTGTCTCAGCAGGCCTGGGTCTTGAGCTCACAATCCAATGTGTGCATGCTGGGCCCTGAGCCCTGGCAAGGTTTGGGCTTTCTGTCAGCAAAGGGGCCTGCTGAGACTGCGGACACAAACTATTAACAAACGAAGTTACAAGAAAGCATCTGCTATCTGCTGAAATAATGGCTTTCAAGGAAAAGCTATTTTCTCCTATGGTCCCTCTGTGAAGTGATGGAATCACTTAGAAAACTGGGAGGGGGGGTATGGAGACGGGCAGTTAGTAAAGTACTCAAGTGTAGACCTGAGCTTGATCCCCAGAACCCAGATGAAAAGCTTGATGTGGTTGCACACACATGTAATCCCTACACTGGGGAGGCAGAAACAGTGGGGCTCACTGGCCAGCCAGCCTAGCCTGCCTGGTGAGCCCTAAGCCAATGAAAAAAGTAAACCTGTCCAGACGCATTTGTAAATCAACTGAAAAGCCACAAACAGGAGAAAATCCTTAAGCTCCAGGAGGGCACCAGAACACATCTAAGAAAGTGAGAGACGAGACTTACAGGTCCTGTGAGGGCAGAGGACAGATAAGACCAGGGAAAAGGGAAAGGAGATGAAGCAAATTCTCCCACCAGAACCGAGTAGGGAAAAGATCAAAAGAAGTTAAATGTGAGTGGTTTGGAAGGCAGAAAAGCAAGAACTGGAGCAGCAATAATTGAGGGAAGAAAAGGAAGCTTAGCTAAGCTAAATCCTGAGATCCAAGGCTCTCCCACATCAACTGCAAGACAAGGTGGCTGGAACTATCACCCCTTTGTGACAACCGAGATAGAATGGGGGGGGGGGTGTATCTCTAGAAAGTGTAACCAGCTCTAGCTCTGGTTACAAAGCAATTGCCATTGCTATCATCTTCATTATGATGATTATTTTTTAATTAATTGATTTATGTGTATGGCTGTGTTGTCTTCGTGTATGTCTGTACACCATGTGTGTGCCCAGTGTACTGGAGGCCAGAAGAAGAGTGTTGGATCCTGAGTCTAAAGATAGTTGTGAGCTGTCCTGTGCGTGCTGGGAACCAAACCCTGGGTTCTTTGGAAGAGCATCTACTGCTCTTAACCGCTGAGCCATCTCTCCAACCTCGACACTTATTACTTTAGTACATGCTCAAGGTAGGGACCCCACCCACATCAGAGCGGCTTTATTTTAATTCTGCACAAATTTATCAGCCAATGATTTCAAACAGTGCTCTGAAATACCTGTCAATTGTGAAGGTTTCAGGTTATAAGAAGGGGATGAGCTCAAGGGTCAGGGCCAGCTTTGACGATAGATCATTTGATGAGAAAGGGTGCTCTTTCTCACAGCTGTCTCTCCCAAATCTTCACGCACATGTGTGCATGTGCTGTGCACATCTAATGCACGTGGCTGTGGGTATGAAAGCGCATCCAGGTGGACATCAACCTTGAGTATTGTTTCCTGTCTGCCGTCCACCTTGTATTTAAAGACTGGCACACTCACTGGGAACTGGAACTCACTGCTGAAGTAAGGCTGGCTGGTCAGTAAGCCCCAGGGGTCTGCCTGTCACTGCCTCCCTTGTTCTGAGACTTTCAAACACATGCCGGATGCCCAGCTTTCACTATGGGCTGGGGGTTGAACTCAGGTCCTCTAGTTTGCACAATGAGCACTTTCTTGACTGCTACCTCAATGGCCTTAGTAGGTGAAATTCTGCCATTTGCTTATCCTTCTCCACCACTGGATTCTTGGCCAGTAGCAATACAATAACAAAAAATGAGTAGGAGTATCTATACTCATATCTGACACAGTGGGCATCAAACTGAAAGTAGTCAGAAAGGGACACAGGTCATCATCACATATGATGAGAGGATCGATCCATCACGATGATATAACAATAGTTAAGTATGCATACACACAGCACATTGGTGCAGTCAATATTATAAATCAAATGCCATTACACACAAATGTCTAAAATATATCCAGATACAATCCCCATAGGTAATCAATATCCACCTCTCACCAATCAATGAACCATCCAGACAAAAGGGTCAGCTAAGAACCTTCAGAATGACTCTGCGCCCACAGGTCACATGACTTAGAAGACACCCACAGCATGTTCCCTCCCACCATCTGCAGTGTGCATGTTCTTCTCAGCAGCCAGTGGAGTTTTCTTGCGGGTTAGACTCCTTATTGAGTATCCTTATAAATTCATTGTGCTTAACCTGATGTGGTTCTGCTAACCCTGTTTCTGTTTGACCATCGGTGTGGCACAATGCTGTCTTCTGTTAACTATGGTTTCCTTTGGCTCTGTGGACAGACTTCCATTGGCTGCATGGTTTTTGTTGGTGTTGGTGGTTTTGGCTTTTGTTTTTCCTGACAAATGCTATGTGAGCACTCTGACATGAAGTATCAGGGGTCCGGGTGCTTCATCCTCAGTAGGGTCATATGTTCCTGTTCCTTCACGTGTTCCATTTTTGTTGTTGTTGGAAACGGAGTATTTTAAGAAGTGTATTGTATCAATGCTGAGCACTGCTCTCATTTCCTTGCTTAATAACTAGGCAATTGTTTTAGGGACCTTTCTTTCACTTTCCACAGCACGAAGCCGCTCAGGCTCAGCAGGTGCCATTCTCATGTGCCCAGTTACCAGATGACAGTGGCTTTGCTGGGGCTTTCTCCTCCCTCTTCTCAGACTTGACCAAATTGTTAAACTGTGCTAAGTGGCAGCTGGCTGCTCTATTATTTTCAGTATTGTTCCTGAAAGACAAATATCATTTAAGTAATCCAATCAAACTCTGGTTTGTTTGTAAGAATGTGTTCTCAGATTAGGATTTGGCGTTTGACTCTAGGTGGAACATTTTAGCTGTCTTTTATCTAATTCCCTCTAGTAGGGTTAGTTTAGGCCGACTCATTGCATCCTTGAATCCCCTCCCCCCGACCCGTTCCCTTCACAAAACCTCTACTGTTCTTGAAGGCACCTTTAAGCTTATACTTCGCCATGCTCTGTTACAAATGTGATCAGTCCCTATGGGAAGAAGCATGGAGCTGTTATGTAGCCAGCTTTTCCTCCTTAGGCAGAAAAATCTTGGAGCCAGAAATGCCACAGACTCCACCTCCCTTACTGAATTGTCAACGGATATTCTTGAATTTGTTTTCTTTATTTCTATTACGGCTCCAGAGGCTGTAAAGGTGTTTATAAGTTACTCTCGCTTGCTACCCTGAAATTGGCTCAAGTCTCCTGTTCTTACAGCCTGTCAGTGAGGGGCTCAGAGGAGATAAACTGGACGGCAACGCTTGTCACATCTTGTCTAAGTCCATGCCTTCAACTTCTTGTCATAGCCCAGCAGTTGTGTTTTGTGCTGCACACAGTAGGTTCACAGTAACACTTGCCCGTGGTGGCAATGGTATTCCAGTGTCTGGGAATCCTCCAAGGGAAAAAGAAGAGGAATAATAGCTACACAATGGTCCAAGTAAGGGTGGGAAGCCTTAGGCCAATTCCGTCGCTCCCTGGGAACATGACCTTTGCTTATTCCCCACTCCTCCCTGGGAACATGACCTTTGCTTATTCCCCATTTCATTTAAATTTAATTGTAACACATGGATAATAATAGTACACATTAGGTAATATTGTGTGGACATTCCATGGAACGTGCCTAATGTATGTTTATTAAGTGCCAGACAACATTTCAGGTGTTGCACATAAGATCGGTTACTTTTTTATTCTGTAACAAAATGCCTGGTGAGGAACAGCTCAAGGAAGGCTTGTTTAGATCATGGTTCAAGGGTGCAGTCCATCACAGTGGGGAAGGCATGGCGGCCGGAGTGTGAGGCAGCTGGGCATAGTGCATTCAGTCAGGAAATGGAGAGCAATGATGGCTGGCGCTCAGGCTGTATTCTCCTCTTTATTCGGTCCAGGACTCTATCATGGAATGGTGTCATCAACATTTAGAGTGTTGCCCACCTCTATTAACCTAATCTACAGAACCCTCTCAGACATGTCCAGAGTCTGGGATCACACATCATCC